GACGTGGTGGCCTCATGCCTGTAAACCCAGCACTTTGGGGAGGCCAAGCAGGCGGATCACGAGTCAGGCGATCGAGACCATCCTGGCTAACACAGTGAAGCCTTGTCTCTACTAAAATACAAGAAATAAAAGTTTGCAGTGAGCTGAGATTGCACCACTGTACTCCAGCCTGGGGGACAGAGCAAGACTCTGTCTCAAAAATAAAATAAAATAATAATATTGGCTCAGGAAAATATGCATAATATTCAAACAGTTAGCCGCAGCCTAATTTCTGTGCACCCAGGCTAATTAATGTTCTGGGAACTAATTAGAGCTGCATGTACAGCCAGCCTTTTGCTTACTCTGCGGATCTTGTTCTGTATGATTTCTCTAGGGGGAGCCTGCTCACTTTGAGTATTTGATGTATCCATTGCACTCAGCACCCATCACCGGTCTAGCTACCTGCATCCGCAAACCCCTCATAGCCACCTGTTCTCTGGATCGATCCATCCGCATTTGGAATATATGAACAAAGTAAGGAATGAAAGACTTGCCTACTTTAATATGCAAGACTCCAGTTGTTAATTTGTTTATGTGTATTATTTTAATTACAGTTGTTTCAAACTTTAATTACTTAGAAGCTTTCAGTTGGAAAAGATTTTTTAAAAATCAAGTCAGTCAGGCCTACCGTTTCTCACTCTTGCATGGGCTAGAAAACTACTTTGGTGGTTTACTTATGCTTACACATGCCAGAGACTGGGGACATGAAGATATGAAGATAACACCCCAGTCTCTCACCTTCTTACATAAACTCCTGTGTCCCTCCAGCTCTCCTATCCCCTTGCTTTTCCCACAGGAACTGCTCTTTGCTTCAGGGAGCTCTCCAGACCCTTTCTTCCTCCTCTTTCTCCCAGGACATCACTATCCCAACCCAGATTTTTACCTTCTGGCACAGCTTCCCTGGGAAGCTCCGACCCTAGTTGGACTCCCACCCCCCCGCACAAGGAAGGAAGGAAGGAAGGAAGGAAGGAGAAAAAGAAAAAAACAAAGTAAAATCACTAGGTCCTAGAGTAGTGGATTAGATGTGAGACATGATTAAGAGGGAGGGGCATGGAGAGGGTAAGAAGTCAGCAGATGAATCTGGAGAGAAGAGGCCATTGGAAAAGAGAGGCATTCTAGGCAGAAGGACTTATTGGAGATGATGAAATGGAGGTATGAAATGGAGGTGCTCGTTGGTTCATATGGCTGGAACACGGGACACATTTGAGCGATGATAAAGAGGTAGTAGGAAAGGTTGGCTGCATCGTAGAAGATAGTGTATGCCATGCCAAGGAATTGGACTTTAGTCTTTCAGTGACAAGAAACAAGGGAAAGGATTTAAGCAAGAAAGTAATGGGATCAGAAAGGTAACTCTCTAAACAGTGTTGAGGAAGGATTAGACTGGAAGGAAATTGGAGTGATGGAGAGCAGCTAGGATGTGAAGGTGAAAGTTGGGTTAGGAACTAAACCATGACTTTAGTAGCAGAGGCAGAGAGAAGAAAGAGATGAAGTTCCATTTCGGCCATGTTATATTTCATGTGCCCAGAAGTGTGATGTATGTGTGTGGAGGTCAGGAAAGAAGTCAGGGCTGAATATGAAGATTCGGGGAATTAGAAAGTAGAGGAAGTCAGAGGCATAGATTAGATCACCAAGGGCCTATGTGGAATCTGAGAAGAATATTGGACAGGATAGGGGAGACCAACATTTAAGAGACTGGTGAAAGAAGAGGAGCCAATGAAAGACTGAAAATAAAGATACGAAGAGAACTCGGAATCAATAATTGTCTCAAAGAAGCCAAGGAACCAAACAATTTCTGAAAGGTTGAAGTGGTCAGTGGTACTAGATGTCAGAGGGAGGTCATGTAAAGTCCAAAACTGACTATTGACTTTAGCAAATCACAGGTCATTGGAAGGAAAAGTAAAAATTTGTGGAAAGTGAAAGTGCTATGTAAACACAAGCATTTTTGTTTGTTTTTGAGACAGAGTCTCACTCTGTCACCTAGGCTGGAATGCAGTGGCGCAATCTCGACTTACTGCAACCTCCACCTCCTGAGTTCAAGCGATTCTCCTGCCTTAGCCTCCTAAGTAACACAAGCTCTTTTTTTGAGACAGAGATTCACTCTTGTTGCCCAGGCTGGAATGCAATGGCGCAATCTCAGTTCACCGCAACCTCCGCCTCCCGGGTTCAAGCGATTCTCCTGCCTCAGCCTCCTGAGTAGCTGAGATTACAGGCATGCACCACCACGCCCGGCTAATTTTGTATTTTTAGTAGAGACAGGGTTTCTCCATGTTGAACTACCAACCTCAGGTGGTCTGCCCGCCTCGGCATGAAGGACTTTCTTTACTATTTCCTGGAAGGCAGATCTTCTAGTAAAAAAATATATATATATATGTTTTTATTTATCTGAGAATATCTTTATGTTCATGTTTATCTTCATGTTTATCTTTATGTTCATGTTTATCTCACTTCCGTGAGTGACACTTGAGGTGTATGTGCGCACGTGCATGTGTGTGTGTATGTGCACGTGTATAAGCCCCTGATCTTTTTGGCTTGCCCTTCGTGGCTTGGATCTTTCATTGTATGAGCAAACTGGGTCAGGAATCATTGGGGCACAGTTATTCTCAGTATGCTGAGCTTGGAGTGGAGCTTCTTCCAACAAGTGAGAATAAGAAATCCCAGCAGTTTCCCTTTCTAGACTGAAATCATAGCCCAAGTACTGAAAGTAAGAAAAAAAACCTTACATCCAGCAAAACTGTATTTTTATATTTTAAACATGAAGATAAACTCCTACTGCTTCTGGCCTCCTTTGTTTCTGAGATAAGTTAGATATTATGTGATTAATCATTTTTCTCTTATGGCTTTCTATATACATATATATATATATATATTAGATGGAGTCTTGCTCTGTCATCAGGCTGGAGTGTGCAGTGGCACTATCTCGGCTCACTGCAACCTCCGCCTCCCAGGTTCAAACGATTTTCCTGCCTCAGCCTCCCGAGTAGCTGAGACTACAGTTGTGCACCACCATGCCCAGCTAATTTTTGTATTTTTAGTAGAGACGGGGTTTCACCATATTGGCCAGGATGGTCTCAATCTCTTGACCTCATGATCCACCTGCCTTGGCCTCCCAAAGTGCTGGAATTACAGGTGTGAGCCACTGCACCCGACCAGCTTTCAAGATTTTCTTATCTTTGGCTTTCAACATTTTGTTTTTGATGTGTCTGGATCTAGATTTCTTTCCATTTGTCCTACTTGGAGTTTATTGTACTTCTTGGATGTGTAGGTTAATGTTTTTCAACAAATCTGAGATTTTTCAGCATTATTTATTTGAATGTTTGTTGTTTTTCTCTCTTCTCCTAGTGCTCTCATTACAGTACACATATGTGGGTGCATTTAGTGGCTGCCCACATTTCTCTGAAACTCTGCTAATGTTAATTTTTCTTAATTAGTATTTCTCTCTGTTCTTCCAATTGCACAATCTCTATTGAGCTATTTCAATTTTGCCAGCTTAAATCTACTGTTGAGCCCTTCTAGTGAATTTTTTGTTTTGGTTATTGTACTTTTTAACTCCAGAATTTCCATTTGATTTTTAAAATAATTTCTGTCTTCTTATTATATTCTCTATTTGATGAGGCTTGTCATCCTACCTTCCTTTAATTATTTAAGCATAGTTTCCTTTAGTTAATTGAACTTATTTGTATTAGCTGCTTTGAAGTCTTTGGCTGCAAAATCTACCATCTGGGCCCCTTCAAAGGCAATTTCTATTGCCTGAATGCTTGCTTGCTTGCTTTTTCTTATTGGTCACACTCTTTTTGTTTGTTTGTTTATGCTTCAATTTTTTGTTGGCTGAAGATTTTAGACAATATATTGTAGCAGTTCTGGATATGTGTCCCCCCAGGAGGTTGTTGTTGGTTGGCTGATTATCTGTTTCATGACTTGGCTGAGCTAATTCTGTAAAGTCTGTTTCCCCTGTAGTGTGCAGTATCTCATATCACTACTCAGATATTTTTCATCTTTTCTTTTAGCCTGGCTACCTAGGGTTGCCCATGAGTTGCCTGAGCTGCTAATTAGTTATGGATTGTGCATAAACCCCCTTAGCCAGTTAGGTGTTTACCTTTTACTACCAGATTTATGTGTGGCTTGGAAAATGCTATCACAGTTCAGAGAGTCAATGGCTTTTGCATCATGTTCAGCCAGAGACTGGTAGTTTGGATGTCCTCTCTCTGATTGTACATAAGAGGGTACAGCCTTGGGCATGCACAGAGTCTTCCAGGCTGTGAGGGATGAATATGATTTCTTTTTTTTTTTGAGATGGAGTCTCGCTCTGTCACCCAGACTGGAGTGCAGTGGCGCTACAAAATACAAAAAATTAGCTGGGTGTGGTGACGGGCGCCTGATTTCATTTTTAAGCCTGGCTTCCTAGGAGATGCCCCTGGGTTGGGAGAGCTTAATGTTCAGCGTTTGGTGGACTGTTGTGTTTGGTAGGCCCATTGTGCCAGTGAGACTCTGCCCTATGTTAATGGGTCTTTGTGTAGCTTAGGAGATGCTTTCAAGTTTTCCCCATATCCCACTCTGACTGCACCTGAATCAGTACAGCCTAGCACATACATAAGACCTTCCAGCCCCTAGAGTTGTCTGTTATCCCTGAAGGGCTTTTCTTCCCTGTCCCTTTCCCTTGTTCTATCAAAATTCCACTCCTCTGTATCATTTTGCTTACATCCTGGAGTTATCAGCCTCCTCTGAATCACTTTCCACCAAGATCTCCATTGTTTTAGACAATGCCCACAGGCATGGACTTTTCCATGTTCTATTCCAAATAAAGTCAGTCCCCTCAAGCAGAGCTGAGAGCTCCCTGTCTTAGCACCTGACTTTCCCATGGTCAGAACCTTTGCTCCACTGCACCAGAGCTGGGGCGGGGACCTGCTTTTCCAGGAGTAACATCTCACTTCCGTGAGTGACACTTGAGGTGTCTGTGCGTGCATGCGTGTGTGTATGTGCACGTCTGTAAGCCCCTGGTCTTTTTGGCTTGCCCTTCATGGCTTGGATCTTTCACTGTATGAGCAAACTGGGTCAGGAATCATTGGGGCACAGTTATTCTCAGTATGCTGAGCTTGGAGTGGAGCTTCTTCCAACAAGTGAGAATGGGCTGGGGGGAAGAGAGTCTGAGCCCTCTCGGCCACACCTGCTTGGAATAGAGCTTCTGCAACATGGGGCTGGGGTAAGAATAAGAAATCCCAGCAGTTTCCCTTTCTAGACTGAAACCATAGCCCAAGACCAGGAGCTATGGGGAGAGGAGTCACTTGTCTTGGCCACACCTGCCCAGTGTGCACAGCAGTGAAGTTTCTGGAGCTGAGGCTGTAACAGAGCGAGTCATGGCTCAAATGCTGCAGACCCTGTTCTCACTGGGATTGAGCAGATTTTCTTGAATAAATGTTTTTCCATTTGCTGTATTCCCTGAGGACAATTTCCAGACACATTTTATTTATTTTATTTTAGACAGGGTCTCACTCTGTCACTGAGGCCGGAGTACAGTGGTACACTTATAGCTTTTACTGCAGCCTCAACCTCCCCAGTCCAAGCCATCTTCCTGCCTCAGGCACATGCCACCATGCCCAGCTTACTATTTTTATGAAGACCGGGTTTCACTACGTTACCCAGGCTATTCTCAAACTGCTGGGCTGAAGTGATCCTCCCACCTCAGCCTCCCAAAAAGTTGGGCTACAGATGTGATCCACTGCACCCAGCCTTCTAGAGACTTTAAATGATTATTTTTATCATATTTACCAGTTAACCTACATTGTCAGAGAGAAGGTCAAGTTGAGGTCCTTACCCTGCCATTCCAGAAGTCCACTCTCTCCTATTTTTGCAAGTTTCTGTGAATATATAATTATGTCAAAAATGTTTTGAAAAAACAGCAATAATTGGTTGGTTCTAGCCTTAAGAAACCTGTATGATTCAGTCTTTACGTTCATAACGTGAAAAAGAAATGGGAGTGTCTTTTTTTGCAAGTGTCATAGAAGTAATTTGCAAGTGTCATAGAAAACAGAATGTGTACGTTCACAAGAAGCTACGTTTTGTGCTGACAGAAGGGCCTACAGCAGGAAAGGATGTTCTGCTCAGTCTAGTGGAGCACCTGAGGAGTCTGCACCCTTTTCTGTGTTAGGATGTATGTGTGTATATGCTCTTCACTGGATATGTCTTCCTCTCCTACAGATTCGCTCAATTGTGTGGAATGCAGATGATAGCAAACTGATTTCTGGTGGCACAGATGGTGCTGTGTATGAGTGGAATCTGTCCACAGGAAAGAGAGAGACAGAATGCGTGCTCAAGTCTTGCAGCTACAACTGTGTTACTGTCTCCCCCGATGCCAAAATTATCTTTGCTGTTGGATCAGACCACACCCTCAAGGAGATTGCCGATTCCTCGGTGAGTCTGCCCCTGCCCCGCCTCTGGGCTGCTGCACAGATCTGCAGGGACAGCCTCCCATGCTTACAGCAGAAAGTATGCACGGAATGAGGGCCTCTGTGTACAGGGCCCCTTCTTCCCAAGATAACGTCAGGCTCCTCATTCCTTTTGGATTAGCTCAGTTACCGTCACTTCCTGAATTTCCTGCTCAGTTTCCTTCCTGACTGGGTGAAATTGTAAATTGCGGCCTCTTTTTCATTTCTGTTTTACTTGCTGTCTGTAACTTCTCTCCCACCTTCCAGGCATGGAGGTCATGTCATCTCTAAACTGCGCTCTTACCCTTGGTCTGCACTTAACTTTCCTGGGGTAAAAACCTAACTACAGTATGCACTGAGTAACCCCAATGATGCACCACACAGACTATAAGATTGTAATGCCATAAGATTATAACGCCAAATTTTCACTGTACTTTTTCTGTTTAGATATACAGATATTTTCCATTGTGTCACAGTTGCCTACAGTATTCAGCATAGTCACGTGCTGTTCAGGTTTGTAACCTAGGAGCAGTAGGCTGTACCACGTAGCCTAGGTGTATAGTAGGCTGTCACAGCTAGGTTTGGGTAAATACACTCCATGATGTGACAAAATAGCCTAACCATGTATCCCATATCAAGCAATGCATGACTGTGCAGTTAGCTGCTATCACCTAGGCTTGCCACTGTATTCTTTTGAAATCCCCAAACTCTGAAACTGTACAGTTACACTAGGCTCCAAATAGTGAAGGGAAAACAGAGGAGCTCAGCAAGGATGTGTCCTACAAACAAGGCCTGTGCGCTCCTCCAGCTGGCTCCTCCCACTTTTCCTGTGACTTGTGCCTAGGAAAGTGTGTAGATACCACGGCAGCAAGCTAGCCCAAGGCAGGTCTCCCTGCGGCTGGAACACAGTTGACAGTATGGTGACTCTCCTGTGTACTCCCGAGTAGCCCGGTCCTAATTCAATGGCAGCTATCAGTGCTGTGCCAGAATAAAGCCCCTTTAGGGCAAGGCCATGTTTTGCTCCTCTTGGCAGCCCTGCTAGCTGGCACACTGTGTGGTGTACAGTGTTCAATAAATGTGTGTGTAGGTGGGTCGGTAGATGAGTGCGTGAATGAGTGAGGGAATGAAGGGGTGCTCTGATAGTATGGTAGTCCCGCCTTATCCACAGTTTCAGTTACCGTGGTCAACCAAGGTCCAAAAACAGGTGAGTACCATACTGTGAGTAAGATATTTTGAGAGAGAGAAACTACATTCACACAGCTTTTATACGGTATTCATATATACGGGGTTCTATTTTATTATTAGGTATTATTTATCTCCTACTGGGCCTAATTTATAAATTAAACCATATCATAGTTATGTATGTATAGGAAAAAAACATAGTATATATAGGGTTCAGTACTATCTGTGGTTTCAGGCATCCACTGGGGATCTTGGAACATATCCCTCGAGGATAAGGGGAGACTAATGTATAGTTTTGTTTATGTAATGAGCATTAATAAATGTTGCTGAATACATTTATGACCAATAGCCCATTCTCATTTTGAAATGCACCCAAGCATAGCAGTCAAAGCAGAGACTGGAGCCCACCTAGGTACATGAGTTGAAGCAAGTCCCTTGTCACACAGATGGTCCATCATCTGTAGACTAGGGATAACAGTAACTGCCTCAGAGGGTTTTGTGAGGATTGAATGAGTTGCAACATGGAGAAGGCACAGAACAGTGCCTGGTACATAGTAGGTGCTATGTGAATATCTCTCTTCACTAGTATTATTCCTAACTCATGAAACTGGTTATTTACCAGCAACACAACAAGGAATATCCAGCTTGCACCGTTTTTTTTGTGTGTGCGCTAGGCACTATTCTGGATGCCAAAAGGGATAGAAAAAGCATGTTTTAAAGACAGGTCCCTAGGGATCTGTTAGAGGAGAGGGCGAGAGAGAATGGCACCGGGACATGGAGGCCACAGCTCGAACCCTCACACTGAGCAGAGCTGCCTGTGTCCCAGATCCTTCGAGAGATATCGGCGTTTGACGTCACCTACACCACCATTGTCATCTCACATTCCGGACGCATGATGTTTGTGGGCACCTCAGTGGGAACCATTCGTGCCATGAAGTACCCTCTGCCTCTGCAGAAGGAATTCAATGAGTACCAGGCCCATGCCAGTCCTATCACCAAGGTGAGTAGGGCCCTCTCCCCAGGAACCCAGTCCCACACCTGCCTGCCACATGCCTTGTTCGTCCCTTCAACCTCCCAATGTCTTTTCTCTCTCCTTAGTCTCTCTTATTTATTCATCCATCATTCATTGAATCACTGTCTATTGACTATGAATATACTCTTTGTTTAAAACTACTTCCAGGAATTGAGCCTAGGAAATCATCAAAGATACACCTAAAAATGTATGTATGACGTTTTCACCATAATATTATGCATAATAAGGGGCCATTTGGTGGATGCCGTAGCTACTGTGAGTGTGGCCTGCGCTTGACCACAGCTGCCTCCTTCTCCAGAGAATGGCCCGGACTGAAAGGAGCCATAGCCCTGAAGATTAGCCCCTAAGGGTACAAAAGGCCACCCCAGGGGCAATACCATGAGTACACATTTGTAAATTGTCCTTCCATTCACCCTTCTCATAAAGTAGTGTCTGTGTTCAACAGTCAAAACGTGGAAGCAGCCAAGTGTCCACCGACAGACGAATGCATAAGCAAAAGATGGTATATCTGCACAATGGAACAGTATCCTGCCTAAAAAGGAAGGGAATTCTGCAAAGTGCCACCACATGGATGAACCTTGAGGATGTTATGCTAAATTAAATAAGGCCAGCCACAAAAAGATAAATACAGTGTGATTCCACTTTTAGGAGATACTTAGAGCAGGCAGAATCACAAAGACAGAGTGGTGGTTGGCAGGGGCTGCGGGACGGGGAATGGGGAGTGATTGTTTCATAGGTATAGAGTTTTGGTTTTACAAGACAAAGGGTTATGGGGGTGGTTGGTGGCAATGGTTGCACAACATTACAAATGTATTTAATAACGTGAACTGTACACTTGAAAATGGTTAAGATAGCAAATTTTACAGAATATGTATTTTACCACAATTTAAAAAATGAAATTAAAAAGAATTATCTTGCATGCGAAATGGTTGCCAAGAAATCATAGTCAATAGTAAATTCAAGGTTATTCATAGTGCAAAAAAAAAAAAAGCAATGTCTATACCTACACTGACCCCCTGAAAAACAGGCACTGGGAAGGTGTGCGTCTCCTCTTCCTTACTCTCGCTTTCTGCAGATTGAATGACATAGACCTGAGGTTTTGAATTATGTCTCAAACTCCATAGTGGCTTACCTGCAACACTAGCTGTATTAAGAAAAGGTTTCTCATTATAAAACAGAACATTCTGTACCAAGCCTGGGCCTTGGGTCTAAAGTAAATTACTACAGCATATTCCCCATCTTCCCTTCAGATCTGCTAAGTTTTGTGGATAAGGAATTTATTTTTCTGATTATAGAAGCAATGCCTGTTTATTTTTAAAATAAAAATCCTTGCCAGGCGCAGTGGCTCACGCCTGTAATCCTAGCACTTTGGAAGCCCAAGGCGGGCAGATGATGAGGTCAGGAGATCAAGACCATCCTGGCTGACACGGTGAAACCCCGTCTCTACTAAAAATACAAAAAATTAGCCGGGCGTGGTGGCGGGCGCCTGTAGTCCCAGCTACTCAGGAGGCTGAGGCAGGATAATCACTTGAACCCAGGAGGCGGAGGTTGCAGTGAGCTGAGATGGCGCCACTGCACTCCAGCCTGGGCAACAGAGCGAGACTCTGTCTCAAAAAAACAAACAAACAAAAAAATCCTTATAATAGCATCATCATTTCTTTCATGCATTTACTTCTACATTTCCATGTGTGTGTGTTTTAAATAAAATTAAGATCATACTGTGAGGCCACTCTCGTGACCCGCTTGTTTTTAACTTCACACTACTATAAGCGTTTGTCCATACAATTAAATATTTCTCAGAAGCATGACTTTAGTAGCTACACAAATATCCTATCCTATGATGGACTGTAACTTACTAACTCTTCTCTTGCAATTAGGCATTTAAATTATCTTATGATCTATAGTGAATAGCGCAGTTTACAAATTTATATTTGCATCTCTGATTCTCTCCTAAGACTAAATTCCTGGAGAGAGAATTCCTGAATTCAAGAGTATTGCCATTCTCAAGATTCTTGACATACTGCTGATTGTGAGAAGACATTTTTCATAGTTAACTCTTTTGTTTTAACTGTTTATATTGAAATACTTATAGGTTTAGAGGAAATTTTAAAGATGGCACAGAGTTCCCATGTACCCCTCACTCAGTTTCCCCCAGTCATTACATCTCCTAGAATGGTAGCAAAATATCAAACCAGAAAATTGACACTGGTCCACACTGTATATGTATTTCTGAATTATTTCTCACATGCAGTTTGTGTAACCACCACTACAATCACAATATAGAACCGTTCCATCCCCACAGAGATCTCCATCTACCCTTTAGAGTCATACCACTCCTCTCAACTATCATCCCTAATCCCTGGCAACCACTAATTTGTTCTTATTTCCATAACTTTTGTCATTTTGAGAATTGCTTATGCTATTATACTGTATGTGGCCTTCTCAAAATGGCTTTTTTATTGATACATAATATCTGTACATATTTATGAAGTACATGTGATATTTTGTTACAGGCATAGAGCATGTAATGATCAGGTCAGGATATTTAGGGTTTCCATCCACCTCACGTATTTATGATTTCTGTGTGTTGAGGGCATTTCAAGTCCTCTCTTCTAGCAATTTAAAAATATACAATACATTGTTGTTAACTATAGTCACCTTACTCTGCTATCAAACATTAGAACTTATTTCTTCTTCAACCTGGCATGTGCGTCATGCCTGTAATCCCAACACTTTGGAAAGCCAAGGCAGCCAGATCACTTGAAGTCAGGAATTTGAGACCAGTCTGGCCAACATGGTGAAACCCCCATCTCTACTAAAAATACAAAAAATTAACCAGGCATGGTGGTGCATGCCTGTAATCCCAGCTACACAAGAGGCTGAGGCAGGAGAATTGCTTGAACCTGAGAAGCAGAGGTTGCAGTGATCCGGGAGATCGTGCCACTGCACTCTTAGCCTGGGCAACACAGCAAGACTCTGTCTCAAAAAAAGAAAGAAAGAAAAGAAAACTGATTTCTTCTATCTAATGTTTGTATCTGTTAACCAATCTTTATCACCCCACCCACCCATACACTTTTCCCTAGTATCCATCTTGCCACTCTCTACCTCCATGAGGTCAACTTTTTTTTTTTTTTTTTTTTGAGACAGAGTCTCACTCTGTCGCCGAGGCTGGAGTGCGATGGCACGATCTCAGCTCACTGCAACCACTGCCTCCTGGGTTCAAGCGATTTTTCCACCTCAGCCTCCCAAGTAGCTGGGATTACAGGCACATGCCATCACGCCCAGCTAGGGTCAACATTTTTTAGCTCTCACATATGAATAAGAACATACAATATTTGTTTTTCTGTACCTGACATATTTCACTTAACTTCACGACCTCCAGTTCCATCCATGTTGCTGCAAAAACATGATTTCATTCATTTTTATGGCCAAATAGTATTTCAGTGGGTATATATACCACATTTTCTTTATTCATTTATCCACTGATGGACACTTAGGTTGATTCCATATCTTTACTATTGTAAATAGTGGTACAATAAATATTGGGGGTGGGGTGCAGGTATGCTTTCAATATACTGATTTCCTTTCCTTTAGGTAAATACCCAGTATTGAGATTGCAGGATTGTATGGTAGTTCGGTTTTTGGTTTTTTTGAGAAGTCTACATACTGTTTTCCATAGTGGTTGTACTAATTTACCTTCCCACCAACAGTGTATAAGAGTTCTCTTCTCTCCACATTCTTGCCAGAATCTGTTATTTGTTGTATTTGTTGTCTTTTAATAATACCTACTCTAACTGGGGTAAGATGGTATCTCATTGTGGTTTTGAGTTGCATTTCCCTGATGATTAGTGATGTTGAGCATTTTTTCATATGCTTGCTGGCCATTTGTATATCTTCTTTTGAGAAATGTCTGTTCATGTCCTTAGCCCACTTTTTTTTCTTTTCTTTTCTTTTTTTTTTTTTTTTTTTTTGGACAGAGTCTCGCTCTTGTCGCCCAGGCAGGAATGCAATGGTGCGCTCTCAGCTCACTGCAACCTCCCAGTCCTAGGTTCAAGAGATTCTCCTGCCTCGGCCTCCTGAGTAGCTGGGATTACTGGTGTCTGTCACCATGCCCAACTAATTTTTATATTTTTAGTAGGGATGAGGTTGCACCATGTTGGCCAGGCTGGTCTCAAACTCCTGACCTCAGGTGATCCACCCACCTAGGCCTCCCACTGTGCCGCGATAACAGGTGTGAACCACCGCGCCTGCCCCTTAGCTGACTTTTTAATGAGATTTTTAGATTTTTTTGTTTGTTTAACGTTGAGTTTTTTGAGTTCTTTGTGTATTCTGGATATTGGTCTTTTGTCAGAGTAATAGTTTGCAAATATTTTCTCCCATTTGATAGGTTGTCTCTTCACTCTGTTGATTATTTCCTTTGCTGTGCAGAAGCTTTCTAGCTTAATGTCCTGATTATGGCTTTTTCCACTCAGCTTAATCCCCTTCAAATCCATCCAAGTTGTGTTGTGTATCAGGCATAGTTTATTCCTTTTATTGCTGAGTAGTGTTCCACGAAAAGCAAATCACAGTTTGTGTAGCCATTCACCTATTGCAGGATATTTTTAATTTTTTCCGGTTTTCAGCTATTATAAATAAAGCTGCTGTGACCAGTCATATACAGGCTTTTGTGTGGAAATAAATTTTCATTTCTCTGGGATAAATGCCCAGGAGTATAATTGCTGAATCATATGGTACGTGTATATTCAGGTTTTTTTTTTTTTTTTAAACTGCCAAGCTATTTTCCAGATTGGCTGTACCATTTTCCATTTCCACCAAGAATGTATGAGACCCAGTTTCTCTGCATCATTGCCAGCACTTGGTGTTGTGACTGTTTTTTTATTTTAGCTGTTCTAATGGGTGTGTAGTGATATCTCATCATGGTCCTAATTTTGCATTTTCCTAAATGGCTAATAATGTGGAACATCTCTTCATGTGCTTACTTGCCATCTGTATATTTTCCCTGGTGAAATGTCTCCATATCTTTTGTCTGCTTTCTGATTGAATTGTTTGACTTTTTTACTGTTGAGTTTTTGAGAGTTCCTTATATATTCTAGATAATAGCTGACTCTTCAGATTCCAAATCCACAGGAAATGTAGACATAACCTTGCTTCTTCTATTCATTAACAGATGCCTGTGAGGGCTCCTGTCTCATTCTTACCTGGGATCTAGTTTACCCCACTGTGAGGCTGTGCCCAGGATTGCATGGGGGGAAGCCTTGCACAACAGCTGGCGCAGCCCTGGTCATCTGTGGCCTTGAAAGCTTCCTGGCCATGACCTTTTTCTCTTCAGATGTTGCTTACCTTTGATGATCAATTCCTGCTGACTGCTGCTGAGGATGGCTGCCTGTTCACCTGGAAGGTCTTTGATAAGGATGGCCGGGGAATCAAGCGAGAGAGGGAGGTGGGCTTTGCCGAAGAGGTGCTTGTGACTAAAACAGACATGGAAGAAAAGGTAAGAACTGGATCTAATGAAGAGGGACATGGAATTCCTTACCAGACTGCATTCAAATGCGGGTCCAGCACCAGGGCCCTCTACAGCCTGGCTACACCCTGTGTCCAGTGCAGGCCCCCACGGCTCCCTGCACATGCGCTGTCCACACAACCAAGCTCTCCTCCTCACTGCCACTGTCCACCCTACTCTGCCTGTCTTTCTGCCATGTGATCATCTTGACTTACACTGTGCTTTGCTTTTATTCTGTGATCTGGTTTTCCTCTTCCTACTCTTTGAAACCAAGAACAATGAAACATACAGTTCTCTTATGACCAACAGTTTCTAGCACATGCTGGGCACATGGAAGACAATCAATAAATATTTACAAAAGTAAAGTATATTCTCATTTAAATGTCACAACATTTCTATGAAGAAGATACTGTCATTCTCCCCATGTTTCAAAAAACAAATTAGGAGAGCTTGAGGGATGTGTCCAAAGTCAGTGTGCTAATAACTAATAGGACCAGAGTTCTAATCCAGATTTGATCTAGAGCCCCCTCCTTTAATCACCATACCAAAGGAACATCCCTTCCTTCCTGTTGATGCAGTAAACATTTCACAAAGGTGCGTTTTGCAGAGATGTGAGTGCATAGCTCTGTGCTGTGCTCCCTAAGGGAGAAGCTGAATGGATGATAAACACACAAGGCTCATGAAGGATCACAGAGCTACACAGTCATTGCTGTTTGTCCAGAATCTTAACTGTGTTTATTGAATACCTACCATTTGCTAGGCACTGGGGATGCATGTGTGAAAAAGACAGGTATGGGCCCTGTGACATGACCAGGAAGTTCAGTCAAGTAAGGGATAGAAACAAGTAAAGCCATCAGAGCAGCAATGCAACACTGCCACAAAGCAGAGTGACAAGCCTCTGGCATGTGCTGGAGATCCCTTCTAGAGCTCCCTAGAATTTTCCGCAGGAAAAGCAAAGAGGGAGAAGAGGATGAGGGAGGGCCCCGTGAGAGTGGGGGCCTGACCTGCTGCAGAAGGAACCCCTCCTTTTCTCTGTTATCTTTTCTGTTCTTCCCAGAGGGTAGGGGAAGAGGCCAAATAGGAGACAGCAGGCTAAACCAAAGGCCTGAAGGTGCCCAAGCTGACTTCTGACCACAGTCCCCAGATGGACCTGACAGTACCACTGCCAGGCTGGAAATGACTCACGCATGTACCGCTCCTTCTTGAAACTCCCTTCTGTCTTACCATCCGTGTGACCACACTCTGTTCCCTGTAAACCTTTCTGACTCCTCCTCCCCACTCCTGTCCTGGCTCTTCCTCCACCTGTCCCTTTAAAAGCATGTTCCCAGAATTCCCAGCTCTCTTTATATTTTATTATAGTCTATGTAACTCTCAGACCATGATTTACCTTCTCTGCCTAGGATTTACAGAGGGGTCTGCTGTGTACCTGACACTATACTAAGGTCTGGGATTACAGAGATAAAAGACACAGAGCATCCTTCAGCTGATAGCCTGGGAAGAGGGCAGAGTATCATAAAGAAGGGAATGAAACGTGCAGCGGAATGAAGTATCATGAAAGAACCATGCTGTGGGATCACAGGGGAAGGAACTTGGCTCAGGCCAGGTGGTGCCAGAGGACATGAGCCTTGCTCAGAGCCTTCCAGAACAAATGGACAAGGGCCACTGAGCAATGAGCAGTGAGTGTGTGCAGAGGGATGAGGGAGCGGTGATCTGCAAAGCTGCTCCTAGTTAGGGTGTGCCAGAGAGAAGGGCTGAAGATGAAGCTGGAGAGAAACAGGTCAGGGGGGCCTTTTAGACCATGCATTAGGCTGCACATTGTTCATAAGGACCGTTCATAAATTTAAGCTAGGGAATGACTTAATATGATTCGCATCTCAGAGAGATTACTCTGCAGCAACGTGGAGAAGAGATGAAGGAAGGACACTGAACAAGGACCTCAAACACAACATGTCAAAGGCCGGGTCATTCCCATGGATAAATATATCCCACTAGCCAGGGCAGACCCCTGGGGTCATTGATAAGTATTCATTCAGTGCTGACCATGTTGCTAGTTTTATGCTAGGTTCTGGGGATAAAGCAGTGAAACAAGACAGGCCAAGCCCCACCCTCAGGTACCGGCCCTTCTACCTAGGAGACAGCCTTCATCCATGATCCTTACCTCTCCACCCCACACCCAATCAGGCACTACCCTCTCTAAACTCACTCTCTCCAACCTCTCCATTCCTCTCCGGCCCCCTCCCCTACCTCAGTCCAAACCCTGTCCGTCTCTCACCTAGTCTATGCAGTTGCGCCCCACCCACCCCAGCAACTCATCATCCTGCTTTTGGTCCTTCCTTAATCTAGTCCATGCTGCATACCGCCATGGGAGAGATCTTTATAACACCAAAGTCAGACTGATCAGCTTTGATGAGGACCTTTGGAAGCCCTCTAGGATAAAATCCAAACTTCCTAGCATGGCCTACCAGACCCCTGATGGTCTGACGCAGTCTTGGCTGCCCTTTCCTGTGCATCCCACCTGTGCCATGTCACATGCAGTGAGTGCCCTGGCCAGGCATTCCTGCTCCCTCTTCTCTGACTTTGCACGTGCAATTTGTGCTTATCCTTCATCTCAGTACTTCCTGTGCACCAGATCCTCACTAGTCTGCTGGCCAGAAATGCAGAAATGTGTGTAATTCAGTTCCTTGATATCAAGTCTTTCACAGGTGGTAGAGGAGACAGACCAGAAATGGTGAGATAGGGATGCACGGGGTCTCCCCGTAGGTAAGCAAGAAGAAAACACTGCATTCTGACCCACTCTTGTCATCAACATTAACTTTTTAAGGAAATGAAGGGTGTGTGTATTATAGTATTTTTAGAAAACTTTGGCATCAGTGAGTATGATGGGAGAAGACACTAGGCCGGGTGCAGTGGCTCAGGCCTGTAATCCCAGCACTTTGGGAGGCTGAGGCAGGAGGATTGCTTGAGCCCAGGAGTTTGAGACCAGCCCAGGCAACATAGTGAGACCCCCATCTCTACACAAAATATAAAAATTAACCAGGTGTGGTGGGGCATCCTGCTACTTGGCAGGCTGAGGTGGGAGGATCACTTGAGCCCAGGAGGTCAAGGCTACAGTGAGCCGTGATCACACTGCTGCACTCCAGCCTGGGTGACAGAGTGAAACCAAGTCTTAAAAGAAAAAAAAAAGAAAGAAAAAAGGAAGTATAAGAAAATACTAGGCATAAAAACCAGCAAGACAGAAGAGTTAGGATTTAAAGTAATAAAAGTGAGTCTAAGAAGACATCAAGAGGGACCCAGCTTTGGGCACTTACCACGATTTGTCATAATGTGTTTATCTGACTGCCTCAGTAGACTCTAAGTTCTATGGGGACAGGAGTCATGCTTTAGTAAATATCTTCTGAGATCCTACTCTGTGTTAGACACTGTTCCAGTACTTGGGATATATCAGCAAACAAACCCTACAAAGATTCTGGTCTACGTGGAGCAAGTTCTAATGGGGAAAGAAGAATAAAAATAATAAAATAATAAGTAAATTATAGAAAGTGCAAGATCTAAGGAAATAAGAAGAAGTAGAGCAGAGTAAGAAAGGTGATGGGTCCTGGGAATGGGAAGGGGTTGCAGAATTAAACAGTGTGGTCCAAGTCAGCCTCATCAAGCAGGAGACGTTTAGGCCAACTTGAAAGAGATGAGAGCATTACTAGCACAATGTAGTAAGGACTTTTTGAGGATAGAGGAGGAAGCTCATGTGTCTCCTCGTTTTTAGCCGGTGTGTCTTCTGGGGAAAAGATGACAGGTTCCAGTTGAGACACATTGAGTTTGAAGCTAGGCAGAGCTGCAGGTCTCAGGTTAAGGCCGCAGGTTTAAATATTCTGATTCACCCTCACTGTCAGTGTTCTTGATTTTCTGTCCTTCTCCCAAAGGCTCAGGTTATGTTGGAGCTAAAGACTCGTGTGGAGGAATTAAAAATGGAGAATGAGTATCAACTCCGACTAAAGGACATGAACTATTCTGAGAAGATTAAGGAGCTAACAGACAAGTTCATCCAGGAAATGGAGTCCTTGAAAACAAAAAACCAGGTCTGTTTAAGAGACTGACCAACAAGCGCAAATAACAAGAAATTTCCACTTTCAAGACAGGACTGTCATATACTGCCCAAGCTATGCTCAAACAGTAAGATATGTGAAAATGTCCAATTTTAAAGCATAGTTGTTGATATCAGAAATGCCGGGCACAGTGGCTGACGCCTACAATCCCAGCACTTTGGGAGGCCAAGGCGGGCGGATCACTTGAGGTCGGGAGTTCGAGACCAGCCTGGCCAACGTGGTCCCGCCTGGGCAACAGAGACTCTATCTAAAAACATAAATAAATAAATATGCTTACAATCAATTGCTAAGTGAAAAAAAAAGCAGAATATAAACCACTTTACGGTGAATGGTATTAATTGGTATTAGTGGTATTAACAGATTAATTAATCTATAGTAGTAAAATACATATAGAAAATAGATAACAGTATAATTATCTCTGGAAGTTGAGATTACAGATAATTTAAATTTTGTTTTTTATCCTTTATGTAATTTCTAAATTCTCTACAATGAGAATTATGATTAGGAGAAACTTATTTAAAAACAAAATGAAAAGAAAAGAAAAACAAAGCAAAAAGATAAGAAAATCAAAGCATAGATGGAGAATAACTAGCAGAATTCCTGGGTTGTCAGGAAGTTAAATAAAATTAGTCTACATGGCCTTTACATAGTTAGATTTGGTCCGGGACTCTCCCAGATTCTTTTCTTTGTTCTACACAAATCTGGACTCCTATCTAAAATCCCCGCTGGGCAAGGTGGCTCACCCCTATAATCCTGACACTTTGGAAGGCCTAGGCAGGAGGATTGCTTGCATCTGAGAGCTTGAGACCAGCATGGTTAACATAGTGAGACCCTGTCTCCAACATAAAATAAAAAATGAGTCTGCCATGCTGGCATGTGCCTGTAGTTCTAGCTACTTGGGAGGCTGAGATGGGAGGATTGCTTGAGCCTGAGAGGTGGAGGCTGCAGTGAGTCATGATCTCACCACTGCACTCCAGCCTGGATGACAGAGTGAGGCCCTGTCCCTCACCCCCTAAAAAAATTCCCAATTATGTGCTTGAGGGATATTTGTTTCTTTAACGTCTATGGGTCATAAAGTTTTGCTAAAAAAAAGAAAGAAAAACCTTGGCTATTAATTGTATTAATTAATTCATTTTATAATTTTATTCTTTTAGCCAACAGTTATTTGGTGCTGTATATAAGCCAGGCGCAAAGTTAGGTCCTGAAGATGGCACACCACCTCCAACTCGCCCCCCAAGCCTGAAAGCTTTCCTGCTCAGTTAAAGAAAACACTTGCTCAGAAGCTTTACCCATGAACACACCCAAGGATTTCATTGACAGCAATGTGCCGGCAACAGAGGATTCAAATGAATCCCTACTTTTTCATCCAGAAGTCCTTTTGACACGTGTCCAAAACTGAACTCATCATTGACAAACCCATTTAGTAGCAAGAATAGAAACAGGAACAGTATAGAGCTTTTCCAGCAGAATATAACATAAATAAAAGGTGACAATGTGGTTGTTGCTTCATAGAACAGTGCTTGGTGCAAAATAAGGGCTTGAGAAATGTTTGTGAGTGAAGAAGGGTGTAACTTGTAAAGTCAGTTCTTGCCCTCATAGTGCTTTCAGCAGATGTGTGTAAATGAGGAAATGTGACTGTTTTAGGTCTTAAGAACAGAAAAAGAAAAGCAGGATGTTTATCACCGTGAGCACATAGAAGACCTCCTAGACAAGCAAAGCCGGGAACTGCAAGACCTGGGTGAGCCCACAAGTAGAGGCCTCGTTGGTTAGGGTTGGAAGAGCTAGGTTATGGGGAAACACTTGAGAGTCCCCCAGACACGGTAGAAGTCTCAGGGAATATAGCTCTGTCTAAAAACAGGCTACGTGTATCCCCTGGAACTCACGGTGGTTTTTACTCATTCACTCAGCACATTAAACACCTATTGCATGAAAGTAGGAGACATGGAAAAGTTCAAGTTTGGAACCTGACAGTCTTGCCTTGGGTCCCAGGCTCACCACGTACTTGCCAGGTGCTCTAGGGAGTCACCTCACCTTACCGAGCCTCACTTTACTCTTCTATAAAGTGGGGGTCCTAACACCTAGTTTTCACACTCAGGATATTCTTCTTGGCCCTGAGTCCCCAGATACCACTCTGTGCTTTCCTGGAAACTTTTCTTCCCAGAGCAGGCAGGCAGGGAGTTTGGCTACCGGATGAGATGACGGGATGAGGGGGTGGCGGTGAGGAAGCCAGGCAGGCATTTGAATCTTGGCTCTGGAGGCAGCTGCTCCAGCTGGTGCTGGAAGGAATGGGAAAGTGCCCAAGGCTCCTGGGTGTCCCTGAGGCGGGTGCTGCTCTGCCATCTTAAATACCTTCCTTGCTTCTCTCCAGAATGTTGCAACAACCAAAAGTTGCTTCTAGAATATGAGAAGTACCAGGAGCTGCAGCTCAAGTCCCAGAGGATGCAGGAAGAGTATGAAAAACAGCTCCGGGATAATGATGAGACCAAGAGCCAGGCCCTGGAGGAGCTGACTGAGTTTTACGAGGCCAAACTGCAGGAGAAAACCACCCTTCTGGAAGAGGTACTCACAGGAAGCCATGCTGTGCCTCCCTTTCCCAGAGAAAAGCCACCATTCACTCAGATCTCCATGGCATAGCCACTGTATGCCAGGATGTGTTGTACACGGGGACAGACATGGTTTCTACCGCCAAGGAACTTGTATCTAATGGGAGAGAGAGCCAAATAACATCGCAAATAAATATAACGTTACGATTGTTACAAGTTCTGTGAGAGAAAAATATGGGAAGCCTGGGTTTCCAGTGAACAAGACCAAAGGAGAACAGGGATGGGGTGTTGGAAAGGTTGGGGTTGAAGTGGTGGAGCATGAGGCCTGATTTGGTAGGAAAAGAGGGGAGGCAGGAAGAGAGGACAGACGGGAAGAAGGTGGACAGGTCAAGGGCCCTGTGGCCATGGTCTCCGTTTCTGGAATGGCACTCACCTCCCACTCCTTGGGACAGGTCCCCATGCTCATCTCACCTCAAGCCCTGTGGGCACAAAGGTGCGGGAGTCCCTTCTCCCCTGACCACACGCCCACTCTCTCCGAGCCAGGCACAGGAAGACGTCAGGCAGCAGCTGCGGGAATTTGAAGAGACCAAGAAGCAGATTGAAGAAGATGAAGACCGAGAAATCCAAGATATCAAAACCAAGTATGAGAAAAAGCTTCGGGATGAAAAGGAATCAAACTTGCGGCTCAAGGGAGAAACAGGCATCATGAGGAAGAAGGTAGCAGGCTGTTCTCCCAGAGACCTGGGGTGGGCGAGGGTGTTGCAGAGAAAGCTGGGGTGGGTGGACTGACCAGCCTGGGGGGCCTGGCCAGGGTCCTGCCTGTCCCCATCTTCAGCAAGCAGGCCGGGAGAAGAGCACGAGCCAGCGCACACTCACGCAGACGGACCCTCCCCACCACGCCCTCAGAAAGGCAGCCACACGGGCTTCCCTGCTCTCCTTTTCACAGGATATTGGGGTTCCCTGTGTGCAGATAGAGGCTTTCTAGTTTTCACTTATTGGCAAGTAGGATTCAGTCAGTGTTTTCCGAGCTAGCCCTCCGATGGAAATGGAAATGGAAATAAGGTCTTCTGGGGATGAGGTAGATGAAGTCTTGGCCTGGGGGCATCCTCAGGCTCTTGGTCCAGGGAGTCGTGGGTGGCTCCCGTTCAGCACTACAGGTGGAAGAGGGAACGGGGGTGTAGGATGCTTAGTTTATGAAGTGAGGAAGATGTTTTTAGTTCACTCACCATCGAGGGTGAGGGAGGATTCAACTCAGTTTCCCCAAAACATTTAGCCCTGGAGAAGCTAAGTTCAAAGCAAGCTCGAGTTTCTTCCTATTAGAAAGCACACTAGTAAATCCAGGGGACAATCAGTCTTCCCTTCTTGGTCATGGCTAAGATGGCTCATCAGTTAGAGCCCACTTTCTGTGACCTTGATGCAGGGTGGATCCCAGTCTTTCAAGATGAGTGTGGTCACAGAAGTCTCTGGTCCACTTGGCGCACCGGTCTCCGGAACCTCTTGTGAAGACAGTCAGTCCTCTCACAGGGGAATGGGCCTGGATGTTATGGGACAAATACTACATCATCCATTTGGCCTGGGAAATTCCTGAACTGTCCCAAATTCTCCAAATACTCATTCCTAAAATCCCAGAAATGTTGAGTGCTAAGTGTTTTCAGGCCACAGAAGGTGGGGTGATTCAGATCACAGTTGGCCGGTGGTAGGGAACCCCTTACATTGAGGCAGTGGGAGGAATGGAGATGAGTTCCGACTTTAGTGGTCTTTGTTGTTGCCATTCGCTTTTCTAGTTCAGCAGCCTGCAGAAGGAGATTGAAGAACGAACCAATGACATCGAGACCCTAAAAGGAGAGCAGGTGAAGCTGCAAGGAGTCATTAAGTCTCTGGAGAAGGACATCCAAGGCCTCAAGCGAGAGATCCAGGAAAGAGACGAGACTATTCAGGACAAGGTGACAGCTCTCCTTCTGTCCTCCCTCAGCTATGGCCAGATGGGCCAAGGCAAGGAAGGCAAAGCTCAGGGGAGAGAGGGTCTCTAGCTTCTCAGGACGCATTTCTTTAACTCGATGGGGGAACCAGCGGTCAATGAAGCGCCTCTTGTGTGTTTGGCGCTGGGCTAATTGCTATCAACACATCGCATTCAGTTCTGCCAACAACCCAGGGGGCCTGAGAACCCAGTGTTATGGTTCGGGAAGCTGAACTCCAAGAGGCTGGGTGTCTCGCCCAGGGGTCACACACTTCAATAGGTGACGGGCTGCGAGCAGAACCTGAGTCAGCTGACTCCACTGCTCCAGGCATCCTCAGAGGCGCTCCCCCATGGACTGGGGGCAGCTCACTTGCCACACTGCCCACGTGGTCTCTGTGTCGCAGTGGGACTCTCCTGGGGTTGACCCTGTCCAGGAGGCTGCTTCTACTTTGGGGATGCCTTTCTTCCAAAACACTCAGATGACAGAGACATCACATTCTGTGGGGCAGACCATGTAGTATCATCCTCCTGAGCACATCCAGATTCTGTGCCCTCCTTTCCATCGCCTCTGCCACTATGGCCCAAGGCAGGAGGAATTCTCCAAGGGCTGAGAACATGGGCTTCAGTGTTAGGGAACTAGGTCTGGCACAGGTTCCATTTACTGGCCATTGCACCTTGAGCAACTTCTCTCAGCCTTCATTTTCTCACCTATAAAATGAGGATGATCACCACCTCAAGGGGTCTTGTAAGGATGACATGGGATCATGCCTAGATGTCATTTCTGCATGTGAGTGTCAGTGTATGAATCTGGGCTTTTAATTTTTATTTTATTTTATTTTATTTTTTAGGGAAGATCCAAAGTTCTGTTCAGATTCTCAAAGGGGGCTTTGACAAGAAAGAGATGAAGGCCTCCTCACCTAGAAAATGGCAACAGCCTCCTAAGCAGTCTAATGGCCTCATTTCCCACCTTCCATCACCATGGACTGGCAGGGTGCAGGTGCAATGCCGCCACTCTCCTGCTCAAAGCCCTTACAGCTCCCCATTGCTACAGCAGGGGTCAGCACGCTCTTTCTGTAAAGGCCTAGGTAGTAAATATTTTTGGCTTTGGAGGCAATGTGGTCTGTCTCAACGAATCAACATGAATCAACACCACTGCTGTAGAGTGAAACCACCCATAAACAAAACATTAATGAATGAACTTGGCTGTGTTCCAATAAAGCTTTACAGAAATAGACGGCAGGCCAAATGTGGCCCATAGGCTGTAGTTTGCCAGCCCATTGCCTAGGAGATAAATTCTGAATTCTTTCCCCCAACACGAAGACCCTCACCTCCCTCCTCTATTTCCCCAGCCTCACCTCTCACTTCCCCCATGAACCACCACTTGGCTCTCAAGCCAGTCATTCTCAGCACCCTCAATATATACTTTGCCTTCTGTGCTTTCCTCTTTTACAACATTTGTCACGTTTTAGGCTTAGATTTGCTTCTGTATCTTCTTTCCCAGCTAGTGTTTTCTTTTAAGGGCAAGGGACTGTGCTGTATTTATATTTGGAAACCCAATACTTGGCAAAAGATCTTCATTCAGTAAATGTTTGAGAGATGGATATATTTATGTTCTGATTACTATCACCATGCAACGAATTAACCTTAAAACTTAGTGATTGAGGCCAGGCGTGGTGGCTCATGCCTGTAATCCCAACACTTTGGGAGGCAGAGGCAGGTGGATCATTGAGGTCAGGAGTTCAAGATCAGCCTGGCCAACATGGTGAAACGCTGTCTCTACTAAAAATACAAAAATTAGCCGGGAGTGGTGGCACATGCCTGTAATCCCAGCTACTCAGGAGGCTGAGGCAAGAGAATCGCATGAACTTGGAAGACAGAGTTTGCAGTGAGCCGAGATCTTGCCACTGCACTCCAGCCTGGGTGACAGAGTCAGACCCTGTCTCAAAAGGAAAAACTTAGTGATTGAAAGCAACTATTTTATTCTGCTCACAGGTTCCACAGGTCTGGAATCTGGACAGGGTACCACAGAGTGGCTTATCTCTGTCCCCGATGTCTGGGGCCTCAGCTGGGACTACTGGGGGTGACTCAAAACAGCTGGAGGCTGGAAGATCAACATCCAATGTGGCTTCTTCAGTCACATGTCTGGCACCTTGGCAGGGATGTCTGGGAGGCTAGGCTCAGCTGGGTCTTTTGACCAGAGTCCCTAATGTGCCCACCAGCCTGGATGTCTCAGTGTAGTTGGACTTCTTACATAGCAGATGGCCTCCCCCAGAGCAGGTGTCCCAAGACAGCCAGGTAAAAACTGCTTGGCCTTTTTCGGCCTAGCCTTGGAAGCCACACAGTCTCCCTTCTGTTGCATTATTTGGGTTATGAACAAGTCAGTAGTCCAGGCAAATGCAAGGGAAGGGGATTTACTTCCACCTCCTGATGGAGAAGCAGCAAGGTCACGCTGGAGAACAGCTGGAGTGTGGGGTGGGAGACGCTGTGGGGGCCATCGTTGGAAAATACCATTGTTCACAACCTAATATGAATGAGTGAGTGAATGCATGAGAGTCCTGGTACAGAAGCTGAGGGGTCTGTGCTGTAGCCCCGTGGGGAGAGTGCCAGCCTCTGTACTGATGAAGAGAGGAGAGGAGTCTCCTGGTTGACCTCTTCAACCAGGAGAGTCACAGGCTTCGTGCTCTTTGCCCTAAAGGGCTGCAGTATACCAAAGCCTTACGATATCTCTCACTTCTGTCTCTTCTCACCCCCAGGAGAAGCGAATTTATGATCTGAAAAAGAAAAATCAAGAACTAGGGAAATTCAAGTTTGTGCTTGACTACAAAATAAAGGAGCTGAAGAAGCAAATAGAACCTCGAGAAAATGAGATCAGGGTGATGAAGGAACAGATTCAGGAGGTGAGAAGCCATTTGCAACACTCTGGCCTCTCAGACCCTCTGTCTCTTCTTCCACGATTGGCTAGCTGGCCTCAGGGACTGAGAGGAAGCTCTCCTCACAGTCCTCTCTGCTCCCAAGGTGTATGCAGCCTCCAGTCCACAGCGGTGCAACTGGGAAGGCTGTGGCCCTACTGCAGGCTCAGCTGTCCAAAAGCAAATCGCTTGGGAGTTAACTTGCTGCAGGACCTGGAGATGGGCTTTGGCCCTACCCGTGCCTCCGTGTGCAGTGTTCTGTGCCCTCCTAAGGGAGACGCAGCTATTGGGCATTTAGCCACCAGAGGGCAGTGTGTACTCAGCCAACAGGCTATCCTTCTGGTTCAACGTTTGTTCTCAAACTGGAAATGTTGGTTGAGACCCTAGGCGAGGCCATGGTGTTTGGACTTCATCTGATAAGGAATGAGAAGTCATCAGAGGCTCTTGAGCAGAAGAGTGACATAATTAAGAATGTGTTCTGGGAAGCAAACAGGATGGAGGTAGAGAGGCGAGATTAGAAGCAAGATCAACTGGACAAGGGTTTCTGAGAATCCTGTAAGGTCTCCCGTCGCCCCGCACATACCACCTTTCCCTGCAACATATGTTTCCCCATCAGCCTCCCCTGCTGGGCTGACAGTGGAGTCCATGTTGATCTAAAACTGAATTCTTGATTTTTCTCTCCCGCTTCCTCCAGTTTTCCCTTTCTCAGTTAGTGGTCCATGATCCACCCAGTTACTTAATGCAGAAATGCAGAAGGTCTTCCTTGATTCTTCACTTCTCGTAACTCCTGTATCCAAATCATCAGCAACAGCTATCTGATCCATTTCCAAAACACATCTCACATCAAACCCTCCTTTCCCGCTGCTGCTATCACCCCGGCCCAAGCAGCCACCATCTCTTATATGGACTGGACTTCAGCCTCCAGTCTGGTCTCCACATAGAGGCCTGAGTGAACTCCCCAATGGGGTCCCATCTCACCTACAGTAAAATCCAGAGTCCCAGTCAGGCCCATAAGGTCCTATGTGATCCAGCCTCTCCCTGCCTCTCCAGCCTCCTCTCGAAGCTCCCTTTCCCTGCTCCAGCCCACTGGCTTTCTAAAGTCACGCTTTTCCATCTCAGAACCTCTGCTGCGCTGCTGCCTCTGCCTGGAAGGCTCTTCCCCCAGATCGCCACATGGCTGGTTTCTTTGCATCTTTCCGGTCTCAGTCTATATGCCTTCCCTGACCACCCTAGACAAAATAGGCTTCTGCTCCCCCTCCATCTCCTCTAATTGTTTATGCTGAGCCAGGATAACAGATACAAGGGTATCAGAGAGCACTGATGACCCAACTAGAAGTGCAAGAGCCATGGTGGTGCCGGTGCTGCCCCATGGCGCCTTTGCTCTGGTAGGCCCAGTAAAGAAGCCCAGTGGAGATTAGTCCAGGGTCAGGGCGCCCAGAGAGGGTAAGTCCTTGTGACAATGACTTTTTCCCTGGCTTCTGGGATGAGAAAGGATGTCCCCAGCTGACCACAGACCTGCCTCCACGGGGCCTCCTGCCATTCTTGAGTAATTTCCAGGCCCCAAAATGGCAGCTGTCAGTCCATTCGGGGTGCTATAACAAAATACCTTAGAAGGGGTAATTTATAGCCAACAGAATGTATTGCTGAAAGTACTGGAGGCTGGGAAGTCTAAGACCAAGACTCCAGCAGATCTGGTGTCCAGGCCTGTTCCTCACAGATGACACCTGCTATGTGTCCTCATGTGGTGGAAGGGTAAAAGGGGGCAGATAAGCTCCCTCCAGCCTCATAAAAGGGCACAAATCCCATTTGTGAGGGCTCTGCCCTTGTGACCCGATCACCTCCCAAAGAGCTGACCTCACTTTGGGGGTCAGGTTCCACCACAGGAATTTGGGGTGGACGGCACCGAGATTCAGACCATAGCAGCCTGAGAAGATGAGAGGAAGAACAGAGGCCCCACCCACCTGGAGGGCCAGCACAGCACTGCCCCCCTTCTCCCTCCTCATTTGACACATTTGTCAGCTGTATTTCAGGTCAGGTCCATTGTTTGCTAATGGTTAGCTTACTTCCCCCACCAACACACCTGGGGGGACCATTCACCTTCTCTGGCAGTTATAGGGGCCAACCATGGCCTTAATGCTCAGCAGGGAATACACTCGCACCTTGGGAGTGATTCCAGCAGGATGCCTTCTACCTCCTTTCGCTGGTGCCAGTTGCTATCAGGGCTGATATCTGGGCCTGGGTGCTTCCAGGAGCCTCTGACCTTGGGGCTTCCCTCTGGGGGTCATAGACGTCTTTGGTTCATGCACTGTGGATCTCCTGTAAAGGTCCTTTTCTCCCAGGAAGGAAGCCTCAAGCCCTCGGCTCATTTGTAGAGCTGCAACCTCTTATAACACTTCCTGATGCAGGTACCTCCCCTCACATACTCTTTTTCCAACTTGGCTCTGATGATTCAAGGGTCCCTTTGCCCTGCCTAGGGGAGAGGTTTCCTGAGGCTTGTTGTTTTAGTGTACACTCATTTATTTACTTATCTAGGGCAGGGTTTTTCAAGCTCAGCACTATTACTATTTTGAGGTAGGTAATTCTCTGTCGTGGAGGGTCTGTCCTGTATATTGTAGAATGTTTAGCAGCATCCCTGGTCTCTACTTGCTAGAACCCAAAAGCACCCCCTATCCAGGGTGTTAAAACTAAAAAATGCCTTCAGACCTTGCCAGAGGTCCCCTGGGGGGCAAAATGCTTTGTATCTCCTGCCTGAGCCCCATTGAGAATCTCTGAGTGTGATGAAAAACACATGGAAAAGTAGATGGAATTTCCACACTGGGAAAGATGCTTGCTTCCACATAATGGGCTAGGCTTCTGGCTGTCCAGCCAGCTACTCAAATTTGACATATTTCCCAATTTTTCTATAAACAGATTATTTTTATTCTCAGAGTAGTATGAGTCTTTGCCTGGGGGAAAAAATGAACAGAAGTAAATAGTATACTCCTGTACACCCTCCATGCTAACCTCATCTGTCACTGTTGGCCTGAGATTTAGAGAATGAGGCACTCAGACATGATCTTCGGGAGCCCCTCAGATAGAAGCCCCCTTTCTCTCTTCCAGCTGCCATTGCCTTGGCCTAGGACGCTCTCATCTGTCTCCTCAGCCACACTGGCAGCTCCCGACTGGTCTGCCTGGCCCCCATCTTGCTCTATTCAGTAGAACCTCTGCATCAGGCCCTCCAAGATGCAAATTACATCATTCCATCCTGGTCTAAGCCTTCAGCGGCTCTCTGAGCTTTCAGGGTAAAGGCAAACTTCTCACCATTTGAGCCTCTGCCCTTGGGTCCTGCATGACCTAGCTCAGCCAGCCTCTCCTGTCCCTCCCCTCTCCCCCTTCTTCAAATCCCCCCTCCTGCAGCCACCCTGAGCCACTTGTAGCCTGCAGAGATGCGCCAGGCTGCCCATGTCTCTGGTCCTCTCTGTGCAGGCTGTTCTCTCTGCCTAGAATTATTTCCCCCTTTGTCCTCTAATACTTTTTCTTCCTCCCAAATCCAGGGGACACATCCCATCTTTTTGGGCACTGCCTGCTCACCTCCTCTGTGTATACACAGTGCTTTCTGCCTTGACTGCAGTGTTTATCCTACTCCACCTGAATTTCTGACTTACTACTTATCCCTGCAGACCTGAGGCCTCTTGAAGGCAGAAACTACCTCTTAATCAGCTTTAGATCCCTAAGTCTACAACAAGCTGGGCGGCCCTTTCTAATGGGCACATTCTTTAGCTGTGCAAATAGCCACACTCAATGTGTGTCCCCTACAAGGTGGTTCTACATAACTCTGCCAATTCTGCCTTCTTATCTTATCATTCCTCTTCCAGAAGCAGGTTGTTTCAGGCTCTTCTCGTGTCCCTCACTATTGCTTTCCTTTGCCCACCACACTTGCCATTATTCGTTCATTCGTCAAATATTTGCATGCCACCTTTATGCCAGGCTTTGGGTCACAGGGCTATTCTGTCTATACAAAATGCTTCTAATAATGAGGAAAACGTTCTTCTAAAAGCTGCCCCTTTGTGTCTAGAACATGGATGTGGTTCATTAGGGCCTCCTGGTACCCCCCAGAAGGTTGCCAAGAGCCTTGAAATTTGATCAAAGGCCTGGGATAGACTAGAGGGGGAGGGACTACTCTACCCAGCCGTGAAAAAACCCAGTGAACTATCCCATTCTCCCAAAACAGTCAGCAAACCTCTCTTTTAACAGAAATACTAGTGTCCACCAGATTTAGTCCATAAGTCATTAGGAATTAGGTCAATGAAAGCTCACGCACGGCTAGTCTCATTCTAATTGGACACTCCAGTTGTCATTCCCATGACTTTTGTTAATATAAATGCAACAGTGAATTTTTAAAAAATCTTTCAGCCCAGGCACAGTGGCTCATGCCTGTAATCCCAGCACTTTGAGAAGCCGAGGTGGGCAGATCACTTGAGGTCAGGAGTTCAAGACCAGCCTGGGCAACATAGTAAAACCCTGTCTCTCCTAAAAATACAAAAAAAAAAAAAAAAAAAAGCTGGTCATGGTGGCAGTTACCTGTAATCCCAGCTACTTGGGAGGCTGAGGCTAGAGAATTGCTTGAACCCGGAAGCAGAGGTTGCAGTGAGCCAAGATAGAGATCACACGATTGCACTCCAGCCTGGGCAACAGAGCAAGACTCCATCTAGAAAATATGTATTTCAGAAGCTCACTGGTGGTTTATTATTTTTCCTGTGAAGACAGGACACTTCTCAGTTGTACTTTTTAAGACCTTTCAACAGAATGATGAGGCTGAGGCTCCTTCTCAGCTTCCCCTTTCCTGTTTTATGCCTTAGATGGGTGGTGCCCACGTGTTGGTCCCTGCAAACTTTCTGCTTTAAATGACCCGTGGCCCCAGAGGGTCGAGATTCGCTCATACAACTTCACAAAGCAGGCGAGGAAGGTGCCTCTCTGGGGAGCCCTGCCTCAGGTTAGAGTTGAGGTTCTAGTATTTGGGTGGCACCACTTTATAAAGAATTCAAGAAAATAAAACAATCAGCATGGTTGAAGGAAAGGGAAAGTGACTCAGAGGGAAAATGTCCCAGCCTGGCCGTGGAAACACGTGATGCTGGTTTAGCATATCAGTCCAGGGGTGGGGAGCTGTTAGGAAAGCAAGTAGAGAAAGGTTTTGATCCAGAGGACACAAAAGGGGATGAGAAAAGAAATGCCCGGGTATCAGGGGCGGCGTCCCCACTGAAAGACTACGGTTCTCAAATACAGTTTTCATTATCTCACTTTCTTCTTCTTGACTCGTTTCCCTTGTTCTCTACAGATGGAAGCCGAACTGGAGAATTTCCATAAGCAGAACACTCAACTGGAGCTGAACATCACAGAATTGTGGCAGAAACTGAGAGCCACCGATCAGGAGATGCGCAGAGAGAGACAGAAGGTGTGAGGGTTTCAGAGTCTGGCAGTTCTTGGATTCGGGATCTGGCACCTATCTGCAATGGGCAGCTGGCTTCCAAGAGACAGAGCCAGCCCACTGCGAGGACATGTTTCCCATTTTAACTCACATTCTTTACTTGCTCCCAGCCCTGCCTGCTTTCAGGCCCATGTAGATTTACATCACTGAACTCATCTGAGACTATAAAATCACTTTGGGTAAGTGATCAAGGAGGTGGCAAGTCAGCGTGGCAGGAATATTTGTAGCATTTGGCTTCTTTGGCGGAGGAAAGTACATGCTCAGAGAGGCAATTTTGTTGCCACTGGTTTAAGGCTTTGACAACCAAAAAATTGCAGAGGCCAGGGGAACTTCAAAGATCATCGATTCCCATTTCTCTGTGTTACAAATAAGAAAAATTAGGCCCCCAAAATTGGGAGATTAAGAAACTTCACCCAGCACCCACAGCTAGGTAGTACACACAGAGCTAGTAATGGAATCTAGGTTTTCTGGACATGGGCCTGGACACGGTTGTGCCCTCTTCCCTAGCACAGGCCACTCCTTAACATTTGTTGAATAAGATTGGAACTTTCCGTCCGGGCACACTGGTTCATGCCTATAATCCTAGCACTTTGGGAGGCCGAGGTAGGCGGATCACGAGATCAAGAGTTCAAGACCAGCCTGGCCAACATAGTGAAACCCCGTCTCTACTAAAAATACAAAAAGTAGCCAGGCATGGTGGCACGTGCCTGTAGTCCTAGCTAACTGGGAGACTGAGGCGGGAGAATTGCTTGAACCTGGGAGGCAGAGGTTGCAGTGAGCCAAGATTGCACTACTACACTCCAGCCTGGGTAACAGAGCGAGACTCCGTCTAAAAAAAAAAAAAAAAAAAAAAAAAAAAAAAAAAAAAGATTGGAACTTTCCATTCTCTGCAGTAAGCATTAATTAACTCTGCACTAGGTAACACTAGCAGCTGCAGAGCCATAAATGTGAACTGATACAGATCCTGCTCTTTCCAAGCTGAAGACGATGATCAGGAATTTGTGGCATGTGCATAATAGTTACATTGAGAGGTGGAAAACGGTGGAACATGTAGAAAGGGCCATGGATGGCAGCAAGAGAAAGGAGAGACTTTCTCCAGGTCAGGGCTGGGGAAGACAGGGAAAAGCACGATGAAGAGGGGACGCTAGCCCAAGTGTGTAGATAAACCAACCTGACCCCTTACATCGGCGCTCCTGACTATCGGGAAGGGTAAGCACTGGATGAGCTAATACGGGGGACGTGGAAGCCCCGGCCAGGAATCTGCAAGAGAGAAATGATGCCATCTGTGTTGGCTCTAAAGGGATATGGGTAACCACATGAGCTTCCTTTCATCTTTTAAGGCCTGTGGTCCTGAAGGAAATCAGAGCCAATAAAGAAGCCCATCTGTGTGGCCTCTTAAGGATGAAGCCCCATATAGGCTGTTCAGGCCAGATGCCCAGCCGAGGGCAGGTGCACAAGACTTTTTGTGCCTCCATCTGTTGGCTCTGTGCTCATGTAAGTCTCTGTGCCCAGTGTGGCCCCTGGTGGTCAGCTGTGAGTCCCAGATGAGGCATCTCTTTTCCCTTGCTGTGCCATTAACCTCTGCCTGCAGCCCCCGCCCCTCCACCTGGAGAGCACCCTACAGTGCCAGAAGGAAATGTCTCTGATTGCAGGAGCGAGACTTGGAAGCGCTCGTCAAAAGGTTCAAAACAGACCTCCACAACTGCGTAGCCTATATTCAGGAGCCGCGGCTGCTGAAGGAGAAGATTCGAGGTCTCTTTGAGAAGTACGTGCAGCGAGCAGACATAGTAAGTTCAGCCTCCCCTCCTGCCAGCCCTGCCCTCCGGGGTCTCGTCTCCCTCACTGAGAACCTCCTGGGCCCCGTCAGGTGGAGATCGCAGGGCTGAACACAGACCTGCAGCAGGAGTACGCCCGGCAGCGGGAGCATCTGGAGAGGAACCTGGCCACTCTCAAGAAGAAGGTAGTCAAGGAGGGCGAGCTGCACCGCACAGACTACGTCCGCATCATGCAGGTACCTGCACACTCCCCTCGGCCCCTGGGGAGGCCAAGCCATCCAAGATGAGAGATCCCATCAAGGGTCCCTCTGAGACCACCTGTCTTCAGAGCTACCCAGGTGTCTGGGGGCCCAGTAGCTCCCCCTAAAGTCTTATTTTGGCTCCTCTCCTCTGAGCTCATCTTGGCTGTGACAGTGGCTGAGAGCTCACCTAGGAGGTTTTCTAGGCACTTCCATGCTGCACCCTGCCCCCTACCCCACCAATGCCCACCTCCCTTCCCCAGGCACCCTGTTCTTCTTTTCTACCCCATCTTTATCCAGAGCACACCTATGTCCTGCCCCACTCCTCTCATCAGCCCCTGGGCCCTCTAGACCTTCATCCACATCATCTTAGCTCTCCTGAGCCTCTCCCTTCTCTCTTCTGTTCCCAACTCCCATTTCACCTGACTTTGTCTTGCTCCTTTTTATTCTGCTACCCATATCTCGTGGCCACGCCTCATCTGATTTTTCTGGTGCCTCAGGTCCCTACCCTTATCTTTTGTGTCCTGAGTTATCCACACCCTCCCAGAGCTGGCCTCACTCTGGTTTAATAAGCGCCTCACACCCACCTCCCCGGATCCTTCATAGGCTGTTCAGAGAGCCTGACCCCATTACTGCCGCCTCCACACAGGCACGTTATCAGGAATGCCAGTCGGGATTCTTCTGCCAGATTTCTGTTTGGGTATCAGTATCGTCTGAGGCAATTAATGTGAATTAGTATCAAAAGGGAACATCAGAATCACATTTATAAAGCACGTACCTTTTTATGTTCACATTTCTTTAATGCCATAATTAAAATACTGGAATGAGAACAGGTTGCAATTAGATTGAAACAAACCAGTTCCCAGCTTGGCCAGTTCATACACAGCTGGGCAGAGCACACTGTGATTCAGGCCAGATCCAGGCATGGCTGGTCTCATGCCATCTTACGACCAGTCCCCACTGAAAAGCAGCCCAGTCCATCTACCCATTGCCCTACTCCGTGGCCATGAAAGCTGTCAGAGGCCCAGAGATAGAAGTGCCTCCTCCAGTTGGTGGAGCCCTGAGACACCAGCAGCCGTACACTGAACCACTACCTGGGGCTCTGGAGTGCAGCAAGCAGGGAAGGGGAACCAGGGTGACAGCAGGAGGCATTGTCAGCTGCTGACATCACCCAGTACCCTCTGTGCCCTATCACCAGAGCACAGGCCTGAGGAACTGGGTCCCTCTCTCCATGCCAAGCAGCCAAAGCAAACATCGGTGTAGGAGAAGGAAGACCACAGGCTAGCCAGAGGGTGTGAGCATCAGCATGAGGCTGCTGGGGCCGGCATCCTGTCCTCTTCTGCTTCCCCATGCCCTGGAGGGTGCTGGGCCAGGGTGGGGTGGAAAGCAGAGGAGACCCAAGCGGGGCCTCCCTGATGGCTAGCAGAGTGAAGTCCCTGGAAGAACATTTTCTCCAGGAGCATTGTAACCTGCATGTTGGGGAGTCCCATGGATCCAAATAAGTAACTCCAGCAACTGCAGGAAGTAAGAAGGGGCCCGGGGCAGGGGTGTGTGGCAGGGGGTGCAGGTCTCCGGGTCTGCACCCCTTCAACCAGAAAGAGACTGCTTGTTGATAACAGTGGGGCTCTTTTTGTTGGCAAAAAGCTTGGAAGATTGAAAAAAAAAAAAGTTTTCAAAACCACTGTGCCGACCCTGGTTTACCGTGCTCCGCCACTCTTCTGCCAGGAGACCTTGGGTAAATTCCTTAACTCAAGGAGCCACCCTCCCTATCTGTAAAACAAGGAAGAAAACAGCAACCTGAGGGCTGGGGGAGTTCCTGCAAGATCGAATGGGATAACCATATGAGGCACCAGGCACTGGCCTGGTACAGAATAAGTGCTCAAAAAAAAGCAATTTCCAGCTGGGTACAGTGGCTCACGCCTGTAATCCCAGCACTCTGGCAGGCCGAGGCAGGCGGATCACGAAGTCAGAAGATCGAGACCATCCTGGCTAACACGGTGAAACCCTGTCTCTACTAAAAATACAAACAATTAGCCGGGTGTGGTGGTGGGCATCTGTAGTCCCAGGTACTCGGGAGGCTGAGGCAGGAGAATGGCGTGAACCCAGGAGGCGGAGCTTGCAGTGAGCCAAGATCATGCCACTGTGCTCCAGCCTGGGTAACAGAGCAAGACTCCGTCTCAAAAAGAAAAAAAAAAGAAAGAAAAAAACGGCAATTTCCATCCTCGTCATCCAAGCAGAGGACCTATCCAAGAACCAAGGTAGAAATCCAGTGGGAAAGCCTAGAAGTCCATCACAGGATGGGCCACTGGTGCCTGTGGACTGCAGGTGGCAGGGGATGGAGGGTGGATGGCACAACTGATTCCAGACCCTCAGTTGGTGGCCTTGGTGTATGCTGGTCAGGAGCTAGCTGAACCTCATCTTCAGGTTGCCATGGCCCTGGCACTTCAATCCAAAAAGGCTGAGGAAGGCCGCGGCAAACATGGCATCTAAGAGTAACTCATTAGAAAATAACAGAAAATGAGGTCACTGTCTCATTTGCATATTCAGACAGGAGCTCAGCCTCCCCACTCCATTCCTTAGCACACTGGCAGATATGAAAATAAGAGTTGCTATGAGATACAAACATCTAGGACACGCATTTTATTCATTCAGTACACATTTTTTGAGGGCTTCCTGTACAGCAAGCTCTGTGTCAGTCACAGAGGATTCCAAGATGAATGTGATAGTGTTCCTACTCTCAAGGAGTTCATCACTGGGAACCTGGACCAGATAAAAATAATTACTGCTCAACTCATTGTATGCAGTGCTGTGGGCTCATCCTGGAAAAGGGGTTCAGTGATGCCTTCAGGACTTGTGGAAGGTTTCTGGGGCAAGGGGCATTTGAGCTGGGCCTTGAAGGGTGAGTAGAGGTTGATCATGGAACAAGTCAGGGAAGAGCCTTCCAGGCTGTGGGAACAACCTGAGAAAAAGCAGAGAAGAATGAGGCCTGTGAGGTGCTTGGAGACCCAGGAGTCCAAAAGAAGAGCGTCCAAGTGGAGAAGAACCCACTGAAATGGTTGGTGGCTGAGGGTCATGTTGAAAAGGGCCTCCATGCCGTGCCAAAAAGTACAGTTTGTCCTGTAAACAGGCTCCACCCAAGGTTTCTTAGGTAGGGGTGTCTTTGTTTTGAAAAGACAAAACACTCCATTGGCAAGGTGGGAAGACTGGTGGGGAAAGAGGCAGCTGGCAGAAAAACCCGTTAGGAAGTGACTGTCATGTTAAGGGTAGATGAGAAGGACTTGGAAAGGGGAAAGTTGTGGTGTCAAAAGGCATTTCGGAGTAGAAATGACAAATAGAAATGTCAGGTTAGACATGGGAGGAAGGCTGAAAGAACGGAGGATTCCAGGATGGCTCATTTGTGCAGTTAGGCAGATGGTGAGCCCACTAACTGTGGGTTCCAGAAAGATGTCACTGATGCAAGGATTCCAAGTCCATGGAATAAATCTGTTGCCTGCTTTTTCCGGGCTGTGAGGTATTGCCATATTCTAAAGGCTTCGACTCAGGCCGTGCCATTAGGGGGCGCTGTAGGCATTCCCTTCTCTTCTCTGCTCAATACGGAGGTCTGGAAAGACCTGCTGGGGTCATCGGTCAGTTCCAAAGGCCAAAGGCAGTCCTGGACAGCTTGGCAGAGCCCCTTTGCTTAGAAAGCTTTTTACATAAACAGTTTCACATCCCCCAAGACTTGGCACCTTGGTGGACCCCAGGTCAGGTTTCCTCTGCAGCTATGTAGACCTGGGTGGGGGTCTGGAGGATTGGAGGGGCTTTTGGAGGTCAAACTGACCAGGGAGCGATCAGGAAGAGAAGGCTCAGCAAACCCATTGCATTCACATTTTTAATTCACAAAGCCATCCAAAGCATAAACAGTTGACCTCAGTGTGACCTCAGGACCCCTCAGAACACAGGCCATCCCAGAAAACATTTTGCGGGTAGCCCAACTTACATATATTGGGAGTGTCCTTGGCCATGATACTATGTGAGGTATTGGAATGGAGGTGACAGAAATGTGAGGGGGGACAGCAGAGCCTGGAAAGCAGTAGTCATGGAGGAACAGGGCACTCTGGATGGAGGCATGACAGGGTTCAGACCCCAGCTCTACCACTGAGGTACGGCCTCAGTTTCCTCACAAGGTTGGTGTAAGGAGGAACTGAGGGACTGTATGCACGCTGTTTGATACATTGCAGTGATCCAATCAACCCTTGCAATTGTGGTTACTCTTATCATTGTTATCATCAAGCTCTTCCTGCCTTAGGTTCTCCTTTCCAACCTCCTGGCTCTGGGCCTGGAACACTCTTCTCCTCTGTCTCCCCTGGGAGCCCTCCTCACACTGGGTTGGGCCCCTGCTTCAGCCTCTCATGGCAGCTCTGCACTGGAGCCAAGCGGGACCTCCCACGTCTGGCACAGTGACCAGTGTAAGCTTTCAGGAACTGGTTCTTACTTATTTAAATGAATAAGTGAATGAATGAATGAATGAATGAATGAATGAATGAATGAACAGAACAAGAGAGTCAGGCTGCACTGAGTGGTGGGCCTCAATCATACTCCAACAAGGATCAAGCCCTGGAGACCCATTTAGGTGAGGGAGCATCATGAAGATGTCAGAGGTTGGCAGGGGGGTCAGAAACTGGCATTCACACCAACAGGTACCAGGAGCCAGAAATCCCAATCACAGTGACAGGGCTGTAGAGGGTGGAGGGGGTGGGGACTACCAGGACAGGGCTCCACTTGCGGGGCGGGGCGCTTTACAGCAGAACAGGGGAGACCGCTAAGAGCTGGTGACAAACCAGCAGGAAGGGTGAACATCAGAATCAGATCAGACACAAAAGCAATAGGACTCAGTGACAGAATGGAAGGAGATGACCAAAAAGAGGAAGCAACTAAAGATGCAAACTGTGAGAGAACTCGAATGGCGCTTTCAGTTTCTAGTGCTTATTCTGATGATTATTAATGAGTTATTTAATGAGGATCAGGAGAAGTGAAGCTTAGCAAAGCCTACTGAAAGGAGAAATGGAGAGAGACCTGGAGCGAGCAAGCTTGCCCCTGTGGCTCTAAGACCCTCCCTTCTGTTCTGATCTCTCACCTCTCCCTTATCCCTTGGTTTGTAACTTCCTTATTAGTAAGAATCTCATCTTATTCGGTTTGGTATCCACTGCATTAGTTATTCATTTTCTCATCCATTTCACACATATTTATTGAGCACCTCTAACATGCAAGGCAGGGTCCAAGGTCCATAACCCAATAAATATGTATTGAATTGATCATGTCATGATAGCAAGTCTATCAAGGAGAAAGTCCATGGGAGGATCTAGCAGAGTTTTACCAGCAGCATCTGGAAAGGAAATGTGGGAAACCTATCACTGTTATGAGAAAATCTGGAACTGTAATGTTCCCCACCCTCCCTCCCAAACTGGGGAGACCAAAGAATGACAAGTCCAGCTTGGCGAGTGGATGAGTTTATTTAGGTCTTCCATGCGGGGCACTCCTGGGCAGCCGCAGGACCGCTCTAGAGACCTGCATTGCCTCCCATCTCGAAGCTGCTTTTAAGCTAATTTTCTGGCTCTTCACCTCAGTGTATGTGCCATGGGACTGTTTTCCTTGGTAGGTTTTCAGGTATCTTCTAGGATGTTTGGATTCTCAGGGACACCTGCGCCTCAGCTGGACACCATGGCCTTGACTAACTGCCTGGCTTTGAGGGTTCAGACAGTGAGCGTACACCCTTAAGTAACCTGGTGGGGGGCACATCACACCACAGTCACCAAGGCCTGGGTTGGTTAAAAGGGTAAAGCATTCAATGGAGAAAACATCTGACTCAGAAACACAAGTACAGATCCTAGCATCAAGAATGAAGGGTTGACAATGAGGACTAGGCATTTCATCTGAGAGAGAGAATTTCATGACTATAAAGGAATACCCGAGGCTGGGTAATTTATAAAGAAAAGAGATTTATTTGGCTCACAGTTCTGAGGGCTGTACAGGAAGCATGGCGCCAGCATTGCCTCTGGTCAAGACCTCAGGAAGCTTTTACTCATGATGGAAGGCAGAGGAGGAGCAGGCATGTCACATGGCAAAAGAGGGAGCAGGAGAGGAGAAGGGGCCCGGTTTTTGTTTTTGTTTTTGTTTTTGTTTTTGTGATGGAGTCTCACTCTGTCACCCAGGCTGGAGCACAGTGGCACCATCTTGGCTCACTGCAAGCTCCGCCTCCTGGGTTCATGCCATTCTCCTGCCTCAGCCTCCCGAGTAGCTGGGACTACAGGCACCCGCCACCACGCCCAGCTAATTGTTTGTATTTTTAGCAGAGACAGGATTTCACTGTGTTAGCCAAGATGGTCTCGATCTCCTGACCTCGTGATCTGCCTGTCTGAGCCTCCCAAAGTGCTGGGATTACAGGTGTAAGCCACCGCACCCAGCTGGGACCAGGTTCTTTTAAAACAACTAGTTCTTGCGGGAACGAATAGAACAAGCACTCACTCATTACCACGAGGATGGCACCAAGCCCTTCATGAGGAATCTGCTCCCATGACCCAGAGACCTCCCTCTAGGCCCCACCTCCAACACTGGAGATCAATTTTCAACAGGAGATTTCGAGGAGACAAACATCCAAACTATATTGTAAGGAATAGTGAAATTAAGTCATATACTGGAAGTCTAAAGGTGTAGGTCTGTGCTTTAGATGAAGCATTTCTGGAGGAAAAGAATCTGTTGCGGTGTCTCTAGCCCAACCCCCGCTCCCTCCTGGGCTCCACAGGTACCTCCCCACAGCAGAGGACTGTTTGTCACAGCTCAGGGAGAACAGTGCTTAAGACCGTCCTGTTCACTGGGCTCTGACTCCGCAGCCCCCACTCGTGAGATAATGTCCCAAGTAGAAGCACAGTTTGTTCCTGGCACAGGTCCATTTTACGTAGATTTGGCCTGCAACTGCCTTTTCTGGTGTGCGGACCCTCAGGTGCTTTGCAACTGAAAGTGTGGTCTGGCCCGCAGACCAGCAGCAGCATCTCTTGGAAGTCCAATGCAGGATTTCAGGGCCCATCCCAGACCTATGAGTCAGAGTGGCAGCTAACAAGGTGGTCAGGTGATGTATTTGTATGGTCATACATGAGGCACTGCTGTAGACAAGCCACTGTGGCTGTGGGATCTAAGAGCAAAGTGGCCAGTCTCTTTGGGCCCTTGGGGATGGGGCTCCTCCTTGGGGTACTTGTGCTGGGTGTGAAATGGAAGGCAGAGATTTGAGGTGTGGGAAAAGAGGAGAGAAGAGACTGTTTGGTCCCAGGGTGCAGAGGCTGCACCACCTTGCCCCCAGCAAGCTTCGTTCTCACTCCTGTCGACTCCCCTCCTTTCACTCTGCATTCCAGTGATGCAGGACTGCTGCAGGTCTCCCCCACCCCCATCAGCTGTGTCATATTCTGTGCCTTTGCTCCTGCTGTTCTAGTTGTCTGGGACACCTTTACTGTCTCCTTGGTGACTCCTTCAAGCCTCAGCCCGGGAGTCAATTCCTAGGAATCCACCCTAGTCATTCAGGCAGAAGTAAGCATCTTTCCTCTAGGCCCACTCCTCCATCACAGCAAGGTGGCCACCATGCTAAACTGTACCCACGCCCCCCACTAAACTGTAAACTCCTCAAGAGCAGAAGCTAAGATTTACTCTCTATACTCTAGGATTAACATAGTATCTCTATAATATTGCATGATTACATTATGGGTACTCTATAAACATTTATTAGGTAGATAGTTGCATGGATGAATGGATGGATGGATATTTGTCAAACAAAAATCAGAGAAGTGAGCTTCCAATGGATGCAGCAAACGTTAATTATCCATGTACTTTTCTGTTTTACTCACTAAATAGCATGCTGCTGAGGGCAGACCATGTCCTATTTCTGTTTGCATTTTATGCACTTCCCAGATAGCCTATAAATGTGGGTTCAGCAAATGAATGAAAAATGAATGAAGTACAGCACAGTGCTTACGAACTCTGGAGCCAGACTGTTGGGGTTGGAATCCTGACTCTACCGATTGCTAGCTGTGTAATTGAGCAAGTCATACCTCTCTGTGCCTCAGTTTTCTCTTCTGTAAAATTGTGATTGTAATAACAACCCAGCCATAGGGTTGTTATGATGCATTTAAACTCCTATAAAAAGTGCGTGGAAAAGCATTGTTGTTGCTGTTGACGTTGCAACAACAAGTGGATGGGGGAATGGTGCTGAGTCCACCTGAAGGTAAGTTAGCTGGTTCCGTAAGAGGCTGAGCAATAGGCTGGAATAAAGGCTCAGGCCCCAGTAGAGGATCCAGAGTTCTGGATCCAGGCCTAACCCTGCCCATTCCCCATACACTCAGCCCAGGAGGGCGTGCCATGTGCCCACTGACCACGCATCTGTCCACACTCCCTCAATCTTCCCCCTTTTTCTGCAGGAAAATGTCTCTCTGATCAAGGAAATTAATGAGCTCCGCAGGGAGCTGAAGTTCACTCGGTCCCAAGTTTATGACCTCGAAGCAGCTCTGAAACTGACCAAGAAAGTCCGACCACAAGAAGTTTCAGAGACAGGTAATGTCACCAGTGGCCAGGGGAGATGGGCATTGGGACGAAGGGATTCATGCAGCCGCAGGCAGGTCTCCCTTTGGCTTCCTTCTGTATCAGGTCACATCTCCACATAGCCGTCTGGGATCCTGTCCGGGGCACATGCCTGCTCTCCGAGGAATCCGTGAGGGCCTTCCCACACTCAGACACACACAGGTCCACAGTCCCCTGGCTGACATCCGTGAGGTTAGCTACAGTTCAGAATACAGACTCTTTCAGATTTTGGAAAGTGAATACTTTATGTAACATTCCCAGAGGGGTCTGGGGCAATGCCCTGAAATCAAACACTTTAGTATTTCTGTAGTGACATATGAATATTCACACTAAGCTTCCTGAATTTAAAAAGGCACTCCGTTTTTAGATCTTCTTGCATTTTAGAATAGTGAATAAGGGATTGTGAACCTGTACAATTAAAATGAAGACAAAAAGCAAGATGAGAAGCTATTTAAAGGAAGAGGGGAAATAATTACATAAATATTAAATGAGTCAGTTACTGCAATTATATCCTAAAGTTCCTCTGAATTTCTGACGGCCAAGGCAAAAAGAGAAACAAAGAAATATGATCGTTTATATTATTCTTATTGTATGGCAAAAGGGAGCTTTTTTCTGGAGAAACAAACGTTTCCCTGGCAATAAATTCTCTGAGAAACTTAGCACATGGATCCTTAGGAAAGGAATGAGTAACAATGAACAGCCTTTAATTACACATGCCGCTTTCAGGCCCCAAAGAAGCATTTTTTAAGTATCCATTCCTTATCTGGACAATCAATAAAACCAAGAGATTAAGGCATCTCTATGGCAAACTAAGCCAACACGGTTCAAGTTTTTGTTTTCTGGTGGTTTGCATTCAGGAATAAAGATTAGAGGCTTGAACTGAAACATCCCATAGCTATGGATTGGGTCTCTGAAGTGTCAGTTGTTTCTTGTACCATGATCACATAGGATTATGATGTGGAAAGGTGGCTGAAAGGTACACAGAAACCTTGTACTACTTTTGCAACTTCTTTTTGGTCTTCAACTATATAACTATATATATTTAATAACAAAATTAAATACATATATGTAAAATCTTATATATGTATTTAATTTTGTCGTTTTGTGCACTTTTGGCTAGGGTTGAAGTTGAGACAAGTGTAAACCCTGAGTAGTACCTGAAGTGGCAATACCAGGCCTACGGAGTTGATGTGAGAGCACAGCATGTGTCATAAAGACTGAAATACTTGCGGCCAGGTGCGGTGGCTCACATCTGTAATGCCAGCACTTTGGGAGGCTGAGGCAGGCGGATCACAAGGTCAAGAGATCGAGACCATCCTGGCCAGCATGGTGAAACCCCGTCTTTACTAAAAATACAAAAATTAGCTAGGCATGGTGGCGCAGGCCTGTAGTCCCAGCTACTCGGGAGACTGAGGCAGGAGAATTGCTTGAACCTGGAAAGCGGAGGTTGCAGCGAGCCGAGATTGTGCCATTGCACTCCAGCCTGGGCGACAGAGTGAGACTCCGTCTCAAAATAAAAAACAAGAAACAAAAAAACAAAAGAAAACTGACATACTTGACTTCTCAGAGGTGAAACCATCTTCTCTTCTCTTGAAAATAAAGCACAGATGTGAACAATTGCAAAACTTCTCTTAAAAAATGTTTCAGGCCAGGTGCCGTGGCTCACACCTATAATCCCAGCACTTTGGGAGACCAAAGCGAGCAGAACGCTTGTGCCCAGAAGTTCAAGACTAGCCTGGGCAACATGGTGAAACTACATCTCTACAAAAAATACAAAAATTAGCCAGGCATGATGGCACATGCCTGCAGTCCCAGCTACTTGGGAGGCTGAGGTGTGAGGATTTTAGAGTAAAATTGATCACCTGAGCCTCAGAGGTTCAAGGCTGCTGTGAGCCATGATCACACCACTGCATTCCAGTCCCGGTGACAGAGCAAGACCCTGTCTCAAAAAAAAAAAAAAAAGTTTTAAATATGTCCAAGTATCCTAACAAAATATTCAGTTGAGACCTCCTCGGGATGCCATGTGATGTAGCCAGATTCTTCATATTACTATCATGGAGATTTCCAGACATATACAAAAATTGAGAGAGAAGTCTAATGAATTCCTGTGACCCCAGTCCCCAACTTCAACAAATATCAACTCCTGTCACTTGTGTTTCATCAATATACCCCCACCCAGAAGCCAGAGTGGTGAACCTAGAAGAAATCTAATGTATGCCACAAAACCCTCAAAAGGCTCAGCAATGATCAGGAGCAGATATCTCTGGAGGTGGAAGTGAAGGTAGGGCTGAAAACAGAAAAAAATCTGTTTAAGAAGCTGTTAGATCCACCTACTATCCAACACAGTGGCTAAAAACAGACCCACATCAAGTCCATCATCTTGAAATTTCAGAACACCAGAGTATAAGGAAAAAAATCCTCCAGACTTCCAAAGGAGTTAAGGAAAATTTTTATACAAAGGATCAAAAATCACAATTATAGGATACAAAATCAAGGCACACAAAAAAGTTGCAATTTTTATATACTAACAGTGTACTATCCAAAAAGGAAATTAAGAAAACAATTGCATTACAATTGCATCAAAAAGAATAAAATACTTGGGAATCAATTTAACTGAAGAGGCAAAAGACTGAAAACTACAAAACATTGCTGAAAGAAATTAAATACCAGTAAGTGGTGGATTGGAAGACTTGTTGTTAAGATGTCAGTACTACCCAAAGTGATCTGAAGATTCATTGCAGTCCCCATAAAAACCTCAATGACATTTTTGCAGAAACAGAAAAATCCATTCTAAAATTCATATGGAATCTCAACGTACCCTGAATAGCCAAAACAATCTTGAAAAAGAAGAACAAGGTTGGAGGTCTCATACTTTCTGATTTCACAACCTACAACAAAGCTATAGCAATCAAAACAGTGTGATACTGGCATAAAAACAGACATACAGACCAATGGAATAGAATGTAGAGGCCAGATATAAACCCTCAAATATATGGTCAAGTGATTGTCAACAAGGGTACCAAGATCATTTAGTGGGGAAAGGACAGTCTTCTCAAGAAGTAGTGTTGGAAAAACTGGATATACACATACAAAAGAATTAAGGTAGATCCTTACCTTACACCATATACAACAGTTAAGTCAAAATGAATCAAAGATCTAAACAGAAGAGTTAAAACTATAAAACTCTTAGAAGAAAGCATAGAGGAAAAGCTTTGTAACATTGGATTTGGCAATATTTATTTGGTGAATGACACAAAAAGCATGGGCAACAAAATAAAAAATAGATAAGCTGTTTGTGAGATTTGCAGCAATGTAAGCAATGCAGGCATGTGTGTGAGATTTGACTCCATACTAAGTCTGGCATCATGCTTAATTGTATTAAAAACCTGAACATGTTTTGTTTTTGAGTACACACATGAAGGCCCATCAGTGATAAACAGCTTGAGATTAAAAATTACTAGAAAGTCTCACCTTTTTTTTATTACTACTTAATCCAAGTGAATGTTACTTTAAATTAGTTTGAGATAAATTCTAATCAATATAATTTCCTTAAGGACAAGGCCAATATTTCCTGAACATTAAAACTTTGTACCCATATCACAGTTCTTCTTCATTAAAGGAAAAGATCTAAAACCAACACAAACTATTGATTCAAGTGACTCACACTAGAAACAAACACCACTCAAAAACAGTTCCACTTTCATCCCCCTCTCCAAACAACAATATATAATGTACTATTTCTGTTCAGAACTTATAAAAGCCTTCCACTAGAAACTAAAGAACATGGATGATTTTATACATATGCATACACAAGCAAAACACAAAGGAGAACAAACAGCAAACAAATAAAAATTAGAAGCAAAACAAACAGGAAACCAATGCCACCATTTTCCCCACTCAGTCTACCCTGGAGACTACCATTTACCCAGAGCCCAAAAAACCACATGATGAATATTTTATTCCTCATACACAATTCAATATCCTTAAGTCCACCAATATCACCATACATCCTGTGCAATCAAGAAATTCACTCTAGGCACATGACCTACTAGTAAGTACTCCAGTGCCAGCATTATTCATGCAAAACAGCAAACACAGTGTGAAGCGATACAAGCATGTATGTGAGATTTGGCTTCACACTAAAGCTGGCTTCATGCTTCACTGTATTAAAAAAGAATTGCCAGCCAGGCGCAGTGGCTCATGCCTGTAATCCCAGCACTTTGGGAGGCCGAGGCAGGTGGATCACAAGGTCAGGAGATTGAGACCATCCTGGCTAACACGGTGAAACCCTGTCTCTATTAAAAAATAATAATAATACAAAAAAATTAGCTGGGTGTGGCAGCAGGCACCTGTAGTCCCAGCTACTTGGGAGGCTGAGGCAGGAGAATCACTTGAACCCAGGAGGTGGAGGTTGCAGTGAGCAAAGATCACGACACTGCACTCCAGCCTGGGTGTCAGAGCTAGACTCCATCTCAAAAAAAAAAAGAATTGCCAAACTGCCAATGCATGTCTTTAAAATATTTCTTATTTTACCTTCATCAAGACTAAGAATTTTAATTATAAAAATGTTAATTATCCAAATTTCTCCAATTCTCTATAAGGTTTTAAAGAATATTTTATTATCTAAACTTTTTAATTTCTCTGTATGTGCAAAGAAACAAACAAAAAAAACTACATGTGACTTACACAGACCATGCGTGACATGCCTGAGCTTTCCATCCAGTCCCAGATTTTCTTCTTCTTCATTTTTCTTTAAAGAACCAGTCATTTGGCTGGGCGCAGTAGCTCATGCCTATAATTCCAGCACTTTGGGAGGCCAAGGCGGGCGGATATGAGGTCAGGAGATCGAGAACATCCTCGCTAATATGGTGAAACCCTGTCTCTACTAAAAGTACAAAAAATTAGCCAGGTGTGGTGGCAGGCACCTGTAGTCCCAGCTACTCGGGAGGCTGAGGCAGGAGAATGGCATGAAC